CCTGTATCCAGCTAAACTGAGTTTCATTTATGATGGAAAAATTAAATACTTTAATGACATTCATATGTTGAAGAAATTTGCCATAACTAAACCAGCCCTCCGGGATATTCTCAGACCTATCCTCCATAATGATCAGCACAATCCTCCACTACATAAATAAACCCACCCAGAAAATTTTGATCAAATTGCAATCTCTGCAGTGGTGAAAGGATTAAAGATGTCCACTGGACTTTCGAAACACTTGATACCTAAAAATATACCAGGCTTATCAATCAATTGAATGGCTTAAGAGGCACACACTGGCTGACTGGATACAAAAACTCAGGCCAGATATCTGCTGTATACAAGAATCTCATCTTACTTTAAAAGACAAATACAGACTCAGGGTGAAGGGATGGTCATCTATATTCTAGGCAAATGGAAAGCAGATAAAAGCAGGTGTTGCAATTTCATTTGCAGATACAATAGGCTTTAAACCAACAAAAGTAAGCAAGGATAAGAACAGACACTTTATATTTGCTAAGGGTAATACTCAAGAGGATGAGATTTCAATCATCAATATTTATGCACTCAACCAGAATGTGCCTCAATTTATAAGAAATACTCTAATAAACATGAGCAACTTGATTTCTCCCAGCTCCATCATAGTTGGAGATTTTAATACTCCTTTGGCAGTGTTGGATAGATACTCCAATAAAAAACTTAGCAAAGAAATTTTAGATTTAAACTTAACCATTCAGCATTTGGATTTCACAGACATCTACAGAACATTTCATCCTAACAAATGTGAATACACATTTTTCTCATCAGCCCACAGAATATACTCCAAAATTGACCACATCGTAGGTCACAAGTGTAACAAAGCCAATTTAAAAGAATAGAAATTACTCCTTACATCTTCTCAGACCACCATGGAATAAAAGTTGAACTCAGTAACAACAGGAATCTGCAGATCCATACAAATACTTAGAAGCTAAATAATCTTATGCTCAATGATAGGTGGGTCAGAGATGAGATCAAGAAGGAAATTACCAAATTTTTGGAACAAAACGATAATGAAGATATGAGTTATCAGAATCTCTGGGATACTGCAAAGCCAGTCCTAAGAAGGAAATTTATAGCACTGCAAGCCTTCCTCAAGAAAACGGAAAGAGAGGAAGTTGACAACTTAATGGGACACCTCAAGCAACTGGAAAAGGACGAACACTCCAATCCAAAACCCAGCAGAAGAAAAGGAATAAACAAAATTAGAGCAGAATTAAATAAAATTGAAAACAAAGGAATTATACAATAGGTCAATAAATCAAAAAGTTGGTTTTTTGAAAAGGTTAATAAGATAGATAAACCTTTAGCCAACCTAACCAGAAAAAAAGAGTAAAATCTCTAATTTCATCAATCAGAAACAGTCAAGACAAAATAACAACAGACCCCACAGAAATTCAAAAATTCCATAATGAATATTACAAGAAACTTTATTCCCAGAAATATGAAAATCTGAAGGAAATTGACCAATACTTGGAAGCATGCCACCTTCCAAGATTTAGCCAGAATGAAGTGGAAATGTTGA